TATGTTTTTGTTTTTGTGTGCAAATCATGTTTTAATGGGTTTGTTCTTTGAACACAGTGATGTTGATGCACGGTTCATTTTTTGCACCAGTAAAATATAAATTTATGTTTTGAATTGGAAAAAAAAATTGTATTTTTTTTTCAATTAAGAAGGGTTTGGTGAATACGCATATGAAACTGGTGGGGTTCAGTACATCCAACAAGGTTAAGAACCACTGGTCTAGACAGTCAACAATAATACAAATGTGTCTAAACATTCAACAGTAATACCAATATGGCTAGACAGTCAACAATAATACAAATGTGTCTAGACAGTCAACATTATTATCAATGTGTCCAGACATTCAACTAATACCAATGTGTCTAGACTATCAACTAATACCAATAGGTCTAGACTGTCAATAATAATACAAATGTGTCTAGACATTCAACAGTAATACCAATATGGCTAGACAATCAACCATACAGAATACTTCTCCCAGACTGAATGAGGACATCATTTTTCTTTAATACTTGGGATAATGTTGGGTTTAGCACTATTTTTCAGCACAAGATAGGCTATACAAGGCGGTCAGTATAATTGTTAGAACCCTGCTAAACCTTGGGAAAAACCAGTGACCACAAGAAGCTACTGGCAGGCTTTCTCACGTACCCTCATTAGTTGAGCCTGAGACTCAAGTTCATGCAGACAGAGGGGACATGGATCCATAACATTGAGTGCTTTAGATTACTTGGCCACTCGGAGCCCCTATCTGGGATGTTATCAGGTAGTCAGAAATTAGATTTTGCAAGGAAGTATCTTCTGTGTGTGTGTGTGTGTGTGTTATACATAAATTATAAACTGTAGCAAAACTTAAGTTTTTTTACAATGGGTTGGGGAAGAGAAAACTTTAAAGAACATCTCACACACTTGGTAAGCCATATTGACACTTTCCATAAAATAAAATATAATTGCTTTAGTCATAAAAAAACTTACTCTGATGTCTCTTTCCTGCAGAATCAAATTCTGACACAAGCAAGTAGATGTGTTTTTTGAGTTCCATTCACAAGCCTTTCAGCTGGTTGAAATGTGACAATAGCCAAAGAATGCCAAAGCTGGATAAAAGCGGTACAAGTTCTTTAATGATACAAATCTAATTGCTTTTGTTAATATTATTATAATTTTCTTTTTTTTGTTGAATAAATAGACTCAATCTTCAACTGACTGTTGCATTCCTTGGCTACCTTCATATTTCAATTGATATATATGTCAACTGAACTTGAAAATGTCTCAATTTGCTTGTGTCTTAAGTTGATTCCATTAGGAAAAAGACATCGGAGTATAGTTCAGCTAAAGCAACTGGACTTTAATTTATGGAGAAATATCAATATGGACTGACAAGCGTGCAAGATATTCTTGAAAATTTGGCCTTCAGTTCCACTGTCAGTCGACTGGGAAATACTCTACACATTGCAGTTTAATTTGGAAGCATGATGTTGACCCAACCAATATAAATAACAAGGCAGATGCCATACATTGTAGAATTAGGTAGGTCCTTGACTGACACGCCAAACCCCTGGGGTTCGATCTATTCCAGGTTAAGAACCACTGGTCTTGACCCATTGGTATTAGTTGAGGGTCAGCTGAATAGTATGGCATTTTGATAGTCTAGACACATTGGTATTACTGTTGACTTTCTAGACACATTGATATTTAATGTCTGGACACATTGGCATTAATGTTGACTGTCTAGACCCATTAGCTGACAGACTAGACACATTGGTATTACTGTTGACTGTCTATACACATTGTATTAGTTGACTTTCTGGACACATTGATATTACTGTTGACTGTCTAGACACATTGGAATTAGTATTGACTATCTAGGCATAATGGTACTTATTTTGACTATCTAGACACATTTGTATTACTGATTACTATTGGCTGTCTAACCACATTGGTATTACTGTTGACTGCCACATTGGTATTACTCTTGAGTGTCTAGACACATTGGTATTACTGTTTGTCTAGATACATTAGTATTACTGTTGACTGTCTTAACACATTGGTATTACTGTAGACTATCTAGACACATTGATACTTCTTTTGACTGTCTAGACACATTAGTATTACTGTTGACGGTCTAGCCCTATTGGTATTACTGTTAAATGTCTTAACACATTGGTATTACTGTTGACTATCTTGACACATTGATACTTCTTTTGACTATCTAGCCACATTGGTATTACTGTTAGTGTCTAGACACATTTATATTATTGTTGTTTATATTATTGTTGACTATCTAGCCACATTGATATTACTGTTGAGTGTCTCGACACAATGATATTACTGTTGACTATCTAGCCACATTGATATTACTGTTGAGTGTCTCAACACATTGGTATTACTGTTGACTATCTAGCCACATTAGTATTACTGTTGAGTGTCTAGACACATTGATATTACTGTTGTCTATCTAAACACATTGGAACTTCTTTTGACTGTCTAGACACATTGGTATTACTATTGACTGGTTAGCAACATTGGTATTAATGATTACTATTGACTGTCTAGCCACATTGGTATTACTGTTGAGTGTCCAGCCACATTGGTATTGCTGTAGTGTCTAGACATATTGGTATTACTGATGACTGTATAAACACATTGGTATAAAGAATCATAAAAGAGCAAGTAAAGCGGCAAAAGAGCTGCCATTAGTCAATATGTTCATCATATGTGACAAATTATACAGACCTAAACTGCTACAAATTTAAGAACAAAACATTGTTGTTGAGAGGAATCCATTATGTAGATCAAATTGCATAGATGACTGGTATTTTGCTGATCGCTTATCGAACAGACCATACCCAACTCATGACTACCTCCAGATATATTAAATGTTTCAAATTCAATTAGCCTTTAATGTCCTGATGCACCACAATGATGCAATCTAGACTGCTTTTGATACAATTATTCCTAAATTTTGTGTTGATCCAATGTCAATGAACACTTGGTAATTTCATAATTTAAATAAATAAATCCTCTTGAATTATATCCAAACACAACTGTAAACTCTGTTCACAATTGGATTCCGGAGACTGATATAAAATAGAAATGAATTATTTGTTATTAAGTCAATGTTTATTTAGTTTAACTTGGCCTAGATGTGAATTATTCCAATCAAATTGTAAACAAGTTTGGGGCTGGAATGTTCTGAACTCGAGAGCTATGTCAACATATTATTTATAACTTACAAAAATGGGAAAATGTAAGCACACAATTAAATACACATAAGAATTAATGACAGGAATGGGCAGCGTATTGACTAGATCTCTCTCTCTCTTAACTGGTGATCAGTGAATGCTCATCAAGATTGCTACTGTTAGGAATACACGACTTGCTTACTTCTGTTACTGTGGCTATGACCCTTTCCGGACTCTGCTCATCTCTAAATGGAAGGTTTGACTAGCTCTCAGTTGTTTTCCCTTACATGGGAGGAACCAATGATTGACCCTTCACTGGCATTGATGGCATCATAATAAGCATCTGGAATTCATGACTTTTGGGCCATCTTCAAAGCTTGGAGTTCACAATACATTAATGGGGGGCCCCCAAGTGGTCTAAAGCGCTGTCCGTTACGGATCACTGCCATCTCACCTCTGTCTGTGTGTGATCGAGTCTAGGATTCAGCGAATGTGGATATGTGAGAAAGCATGCCAGTAGCTTCTTGTGGGTCGGTGGTTCTTTCCGGTGATTTCCCGGCTTCTTCCTCCAACATTAATACTGGCCACCATGAATAGCCTATCATGTGCTGAAAAATGGCGTTAAGCCCAACAACAACAACATTAAGGGGAAGAGATTTAGGTCCAACCCCACCTCCTCAGGAATGGAGGTCGATCAATGACGAGGTTCTTTATCCCACTGAATGTATGCTGACTTCTATTGCTCACCTGTGCATGTAAAATCTGGTCCGTAATGAGAAAGGTTTCCAAGGTGATCTTTCAAGGCAGATTTAGTGCATATGCAGAAAATATGTGCAATTAATTTTTGTTAAAATCAAGAAATCAACAATTTCCAACAATATATAATGTGTTTATTTAAGAATAGTGAATAGCATGAGGGTGGAATTAAAAATGTATTATGCCAACTTGTATAGATATGGAGCTATAAAAGCCATATCCCTTTTTGGTAGAGTCCATTTTAATCCACTGGAGGTGTTAACTGAAATTGCATTACTGTTGTGTGTCTATGTGTGCATCACATCTATTATGACTTGCAAGCTTTTAATGGAATGCCAGAAAATGGTAAGATTGCTAAGAGTGAAATCCAGAAGAAATGGTTAAATTGTGGAATAACTACTCGGATACTAACTAAATACTTTGATTACAATCAGAGGTATGTAATTAGAAAATTGATAGCTGCTTCCCATAGGGTTACCATGTCTTATTTTTCCAGGACACATAACTTCTCTTCTGTTCTTAAATCTTTTTACAGATACTTATATAGATACACACACTCTCCAGAATGTTCTCTTTTTTCAAAGTTCAGATAAGGTAACCCAAACCTCCTCAGACATTACATACACAGAATTTCTACCATATTTTGTGGCATTGCATATATTTAAGTAATCCAAAGGTTGGAAAGCACTTTTCTAAACACCTTATTTTATGCATGTGCTAATCACCAGGACTAAACATTTCATTATACACCAGTGGATCCAATTTACCTGCAATTGGGTTTGTTATTTATGGGTAAGGCTGTTGGGTTTGTGGTATGCATGGTGTGATGTGATCTAGATTTTTAATATAGCTGTAACAATTTTTCAGTCATATCGATACGATGTCTGCAGTGTGGCAGTTTATAGTGATGTCTAGCACTGGGGCATCATGCCACAGACATGTAGCATGATATCCCACCCAGTCACATTATCCTGACACCAGGCCAACCAGTCCTAATACTAACATCTTAATGCTGAGCGTCAGTGAAGTAGCTGTTAGTATCATTTTTGTAAGTCTTTAGTATGAATCGACCAGGGATTGACCCCCACGACCTCCCGCATCTGAGGCAGACGCTCTAACCACTAGGCCACCGGAGCAGTGGTATACATGTTAGGGTTTATTTCATTGTGGTATGAATGGGTAGGGTCTGCTGGGTTTGTGGTATACATGGTAGGGTTTTTTTTATTGTGGTATGAATGAGTAGGGTCTGCTGGGTTTGTAGTATACATGGTAGGGTTTTTTTCATTGTGGTATGAATGCATAGGGTCTGCTGGGTTTGTGGTACGAATGAGTAGTGTCTACTGGGTTTGTGGTATGAATGGGTACTGGCTTTGTACTATCATGGGGAGGGTGTGATGGGTGTGTTTTGTGCATGTGTAGAACTGTTTGAATTATATTATGCATGATTCGGGTCTGGTGAATGTGTTATGCATTGGCAGGATTGTTTGGCTTGTATTATGCATGTGTATGACTGGTTTATGTTATGAATGTGTAGGACTGTTTGGTTTGTGTTATGCATGTGTGGACCGTTTTGTTTGGTTATGCATGTGTAAGGTCTGTTGGGTTTGTGTGTTATGCATGAGTAGGACTGTCTGGTTTGTTTTATGCATGTGTAGGATGGTTTGGTTTGTGTTTTGCATGTGTGGACTGTTTTGTTTTGTTATGCATGTGTAGAATCTGTTTGGTTTGTGTTTTATGCATAAGTAGGACTATCTGGTTTTTGTTATGTAGGGGTAAATCTGTGTCACCAAGAATTTATAATATATAATTTTGGTTTTGAATGGTCCTGTTACACCAAGAATTTATGCTATATAAAATCAGGTTTGCTTTTCTAAGCAATAACATGGGAAGCTTATACATACTCGCTTAAAAATCATGTTCAGCTATTCATCCTTAATTAGTTATATTAAGAACAAAAATATGATCATACTTAACAATTGTCTTATTAAGCAAGACCAATGATTTTACCACAATCAGAGGAAAAACTGTTCCATGTACAAGTCTTGAGTAATATGATTGCACCTGTACTTGGTTTAGTTAAGGTCTGTGAAATGGAAACTTGATTTGAATTTGTCATTTTGGGTTTAAGACCATTTCTCAGCACAAGACAATGTATACATGGCTGCCAGTATAAATGGAGTAAGAACACAGGAAAAACCCCGGTAAGAACCAATGACCTGTAGGAAGCTACTGGCAAGCTTTTTCACATACCCATACTGGCTGAGCCTGAGACTCAGACACACATGGAATGAGGTGAATTGGCAGTGACAGATAAAGGCAAACACTTTAGACCCCATGGAATGAGGTGAATTGGCAGTGACAGATAAAGGCAAACACCTTAGACCACTTGGCTACCTGAATCCCCTTTACTTGATTACATTTTCATATAGTTTTTTTCTACCACATGTTTCTCATTTGAATTTTCATCACTATATCTCAAAATGTTGCTAAAAGTTAAGAAATTTTTTTCTACAAATGATTTAAAAATAATTCATACTAACATATACCATTTATTTGATACATGTTGAAAAAAATACAATGTGTACATGTAATATGTAAAGTTTTCGCAAATGCTAGAAGAGTCCATATTTTGATGCTACAAAGAAATCAAAGGGATACAACTACATTATGGCCAAATAGGAAAGTTGCTCACTTCTTAATAAATAGATGCTTCTGGCCATGGTGGCATATAAAAAAATTCGACACACAGACCAGCCTGTTTTACCTTGTATTTAATCAGATGTGTTGGGCTGTATGGTGTTGAAATACTTTGTGCTCAAAACAAACTAGTTTTGTTTAGCTACATTTAATGATGCTAACCTGAAAATACATGAAACAAACTTTAGTTAAATCCAATGACATATATGTGTCACTAGATGATCCTGGTTTATTCTCTGAAATGTCATTATTGCATACTTTCATTTCCATCAAAATATGATCAAAAAGTGTATTTTTTTTCTACTTGACATTTTGGTGGCTGTTGGCTGTACAAGTACCAATATAATTAATATAAGTGACACATCTCTGCCCTAGCCCATTAATAATATGTCTCACCAAGATAAGACCATAGCTTAACTTCCAACAATATATATTATGGCTGCCTCCATGACAATAGTAAACAGATTGATGCAGACAATGCAACTAGTTTACTATGTTCAGTATGCATCTTGACTTGCAAAATGCACCAGAACTGAACTGTAAGCAAATTTGCTGGGCATGCAAGTTAACTTATCTTGGGCCAAGCTTTGCAGACTGAGGGAATGTCACAATCCCAAATCCTGGAAGCAAAACCAGAGATTGAGAGACTGCAGCAGAAATGAATTTAAATGAGAGACTACAGTGAAAATGATTTTATTTTAGACAGCAGTCTTCCAATCATCATAACAAGCTACTGGTGATAATATGTTACACACCTTTATCGTCCATTGCTGCCTGTGATGAGATTTCCATGTTTTTCATCAACACAAACAATATTTCATCAACAACGGAATGTAATAATCTCTTACACATCAATGAAAAGTGTCCGTTTAATTGACCAGTGTGATTCAAAGTGAAACTCGGATTGGTTCATTCTAACAGTGTGAAAGGTAATGTTGGGTTACAACTGTGTTCTCACACTTGCAGTTGTTGGTTAAGTAGAAATGGCTGAACAATCGTTAGTCAAAATGCCTGAGACCAAATTTCATTTTAAGACCACTTAACTACAACAATCTGAGGTCCATGGGAACACCAGCTTTTGTTTTTCAGCAGCAAGTATAAACTGTAGTCCTACACTGCAAGACAATGCCCTGTTATGGTAATAAATGGATGAATAAGTTGTACCATGCTGCATCTTCCAAGATCAGAATGACATTGTTGTGCCAATTCAAGTCTAATTGCTTCAGTTATACTTACTATAAGGACATTTTTTTTACCTACCTGAATTAATCAAGTGTTTTGTTTTTCAAACTCTTTATGTATGTGTCAATTCAGATAACTGAAGAGCAATGGTAGTCATGGAATGATGAAGTTGGTTTGAATGCATTTACTTTTCTTTGGCAAAACAATCTGGCTAATAACATTTGGGCAATTGTTTAAAAGATTTTATTTAGTAGTTCATTCAAAAACAAAAAAGCATTTAGCAGTGCTTTAATCCCTTTAAAGACTTTTCTTGAAAATTTAAGAATGCAAGTTTGACAAAGAAAAAAGGTATAGTTGTGACAGATATGAATCAGACCACACTGTACACTAGTATTATTATTCAGGTTTAACTTTTCTTTTCACTGAATTTATAATTTAAGGTACACTGTTTACTTGTAATATTTGTTTTTAAAAATCTAACAACATTTATAATGTTTCAACCATGTGTACTTTCTTGTAATCAAAGGGCAAAAAGAGTTTCACTTGATTGTTTGTCAAGTTTAAAATATAGATATCTGAGTGCTTAAATCTAATATACAAAACAACATAAAAAGAAATAATGACAAACTATCTTATGCATCTGAAGTGTTTGTTTTTTGGAATCCTTAACCACATTATTCATTTACCCATCTAAATGTTTGCTAAAACACGGTAAACAGAAATGTTTATTCATTAAAAATCATCTTTGCTAGACAAGGTTTGGATATGTTAATCCTATCTACACCTTAGCAGATCAAGCAGATATTTTAGTGCTTTGTCCCAGCAACATCAATTCAATTGCCTCCTTTAGCATGTAATGCCAACTAACCAATAGTGTGTAACAGCAGTGCATTGTCCATCGGCCAAAAATGGTGGAGTCAACTGACTTCAAAAGGATACTTTGTAAGTTAATCACTGAAAGCAAGACTACATACCAGAGAAGCAATTACAGGTGCATTTGAGTGAAAGGTAATTGTACAAGCACAGACTGGAGGTGGGAAATTGCTTATTTACGAGTCCATTCAAGTTATGTGCACCTGTGTCTTGATCATGTAGGGACAATCTTCAAATCTGAACAACTTAATTTTAATTGGATGTGGTGGCTTGTCACCACATCCAATGAAATTCATAGACCCAAAGCGCAGATATATCTTCTTGTACCATCAAATTGTAAATAGGGTTAACATATCAAAACCTTGGCTAGTGAACATGTGAAAAATGTGGGCTAACAAATTTGTTGTGCACTATCACACATATTACCAACCTATCCACTGCTGGTTTGGGTTATGCATAATTATAAGATGCATTAAAATCTCTGCACATGCAAACACATGTCATAAAACAGCACAGCAACTTATTAACTGTGGCTTGCAATAATGCCATAAGGATATATATATATATATATATATATATATATATATATATATATATATATATATATCAGATCTCTGAAATATTTGTTAACTACTGTCATACATTTATTCCAGATGGAGAAGACAGTCAATTCTGCCTAGCATTATCCCCATCTCGCAGTCCTCTCACCTTGAAAATATTTCCACATTTGGTTGGTATTTTATTAAAAATTTAAAGATATTTAATAGCAATGGAATTACCAATATTCATCAAATTTGACACAGTTTTTTTCTTTATTTTCCTAACATTCGTCACTAATGACAACAACTTAATGTCATATAAATGTACATGGGCCAGTTGACCAAGTACTGTTGAGTAGGTCAGATTATAGTAGTTAGGCATTCATTTTTGGAATATAACTATTTGTTCTTATATAATCAAACTTGCTACTCCCTGTAATCCTGTACAAAGCTATAGCTATGGGATTATTTCACAATTTCTTTCAGCTATCTGTTTCAAGATGACTAAACTTTTTGTTGGGAAGCTGTCTTAACCCATGGAATAAAATGGTCTATTCCTAAACTTGTGGAGATCTATAAGACTGGGGTTGTTCCCAAACAGAGGTTACTGAATATTGCTGAATATGATATACCCAAGTCAATTTCACACCTATTGCAATGAACATTATGTGTATAAGAATTGATCAAACTGACATCACAGTGTACCAGTTTCATTTAGATTATCATGTCTAAACAAGAGTTTCATGGCGGAAATTTTCCACTGTCTAACTTGGGCATTTTGATGTTGGTCAAAAGCATGTCCTCTTTGACATTTCCAACATATATTACAGAATTCAGAGGCCTTA